TCGCTCCCAGTCCCAAACACTGGAAAAAAAACTCTCGTGTTATAAAGCTCCACCACATTCTCATTTGACCGTAGCAAGATTTCCTCTTCAAGATGGACCGTCTCCCGAATAAAATAATACTTCTCCGTGTTGAACCGTGAGCGTTTGACTGAAGTTGAGAGGGCGACCCGCCGGGACGCTTCCTTCTCAAAGAAATTCACCAATGAGTAATGACCATGCCCCATTCGGACTTCAGTCGGTGTTCGATTATAAAAACTCATTCCTTGGCTGACCCCATTCCTTGGCTCATCTTAGGCAATAGGTGGATCTGAAATGTTCCTTTGTAGATTAAAAAACAACGGTTATATAATAAAACTAAAATTAGTAAGGTGGTGATCGTGGAGATAGTCTGGATTGTTTGTTTGGTACGCTTTTAGTGAAATTTCCTCATTTTTCTACCTTATTGGTTTAACTGCGTGCCCCCCCCCCCCAGTGACGCGATTTCAGCTCCACTGGGGGGACCAGCGGCATCACTGGGGGCCGCGGCCCCCCCCCAGTTAACATGTTAGAGGAGGCCCTGTCGGAAACCGTTGTTCGGAGAAAAAAATACTTGCCACAGCTGGCTTTCCCGCCCATCACAACCCATTAGACCAATTTTAAGCAAAAAATTAAATATGAGGGTGTACGGCTTTGGTCGATCTAAATGCCCCGGTACTTTTTAAGACTGACTGTACCTGTAGGTAAAAAGGCAAAATAAGCTAACCCCAGGTGATCAATATTCATTTAGAGACATTTGCACTGTCTCGTTGTTTCAGGTAATATCACCGACTCTTGTGCCTGCCCGGAGCAGTTCTACCGCTGTGCCGGCCGCTGTTGGCATACCTCGGATCAAGCTGGCAACTTCACCCAGGCAGTAGACTACTGTGCTACTCTGGGCGCACACGTGGGAACTCCGCGGAGCGCTAAAGAGAACACCTGCTTGGAAAATCAGTTACGTTTTGATTATTACGATAGTTATGTGCGTAGCGGTGATGATTATGACGTTCATTCCGATGATGTATGCTCGTGGCTGGGATTCTGTGGAAACGTGAGCCTGATGTCGTTTGAGGGAGAGGATGGCTGCGGTCCGAGTACCTACTTCAACTGGCTCAGCAGCCCGTATCGGGACCCTGGTTATTACCCAAATTCTTCATGCATTTTTACCGATTACGACGGAGATTGGGGTAGGGCACCAGCTAGCCAGACCAACGGCTTCTTGTGTCAGTTGCGCTACTGCTACCGGCCCGAGTGTCAGTAGAAACTGGTAGAAGCCAGCGGGACCATCACTGACAAATGAAGGAACAGCAGACTAAAAACGTTCGCGAAATTCGTACCGAAATTTATTAAGTTAACTAATGACATAAGTTTTAATCATCTGCGAGGAGCATTAATGCATATAGCTGATGGCAATGAAGCCATTGCTTAGCAACACATAGTTTTGTTTTATACCAGTCTTTCATGCGACGTGCGATTGACTATATAGATTATTATATGCAGCGTTCGGTCAATGAAATTAAATTAAACCCCTTTGACTTTTTCCGTAGTTTATTGTATTCTCGTTGGTAACTGCAAGAAATAACAGCTGCCCGGTTCCTAAATAAACATTCCCTGATGACTTTTGCGCCGAATCCCGGAGAGACATTGATAACGAAACGCGGTATGTGATTTACTGTTAGCACCAGACATGTGCACGGATACGAGTAATGGATCTGTAATCTCAGTGGGTCTTTAGTAAACTGCAGGTTAAAATCAATAAATGATTATAATTAGACCCCACGAAGAACCTCTATACTTTATTTATGATCTGAGGAATTTTGGTGGCAAATCAAGGGACGAAAGTGACGAACAGTGACCTGTGTGGATCCCAGAGCACTTACCCTATAAAACTATTAACCCGCGCCCTGCTGGGGGGGGGGTGTTTGAACACCCCCCTTGTGGTTTTTCGCGAATATCTCAAAAACGGCGGCGCGGAGCGCCGCCGTTTTTGGTACACCTTATCATACATCAATTCTACACATGTTGTAAAAATTTCAGACCAAAGTCATTCAAGGTCAGGTCACCAGGTCACTTGAAGTGACCTCACCTCATAAAAAGTTTCAATGTCTGTCATAGCTACACCGAGTGACCGACCACTTTGAAACTTTCAGCGATTGCTAAGAGCAATAGCATGTACAAAATGTATATCTCAGAATTTTGATATCGATGACCTAAGGTCAGGTCAATTTTGCGACCTCCCCATTATAAGTCAATGGGAGAAAATTGAAATGCGCCTCTTTTGGACGAAAGACATTATAAACACTCCCAAACATCGAATTACAAGTGGTTTAGACACACTGAACATGAAAATGGTGTCCGTGACCCTTGTTTATGCCCTGAGGTCATCTTAGGTCACGAATGGTATCTAACAGTTTTTCGCAAATAACTTTTGATAGAGGCATGCTAGAGCGATGAAAACGCCTTAGATGTGTTCAGATCGACGATACGGATCGACTGATATGCAGCATGACCCTTTCCGGTCAGGTCATGACCTTGACCTGAGGTCAAATTTTCAAGTTGACCTTTCAAGGTCAAGTTATAGTTCATTCGATGCGTCTTGACGAGAGAAACACGATGCCGGTAAAAGTAAGCTCGTACAAGGCTTGGGTCAAAAGTTATTGCAGAAAAACTGTTTACGAAAAAATCGGCTATTTTTGCAGTTTTTGCCCCCTGCAGGCAAAACCATTGACGTTAGGTCAAATCTGAGAGAATTATTCAGAAAGGACGTTAATAGGGCTATCGAATGCGCTTTTCCGCGGCGCTGTAGCTCTATTGGTTCCCGAGTTATGCGTTGGCTTCTTGGAAATTTTCGACATTCGACCTGGAAATCGTCGAAATTTTGCCTTCAATGACCTCTGGCGACCTGACCTTTGACCTGACCAAAAAATGACCGAAGTGATTTCGTCATTATTTTTGACGCTCTTTCGAACGCCGCCTTCCGCGTATCGCTACGTGGCCCAGGAGCCGAGTTACAAGGGGGGTGTTCAAACACCCCCCCCCCCAGCAGGGCGTGGAAATCCAGGACCCCCAGCCGGGCGCGGGTTAACCCGCGCCCTGCTGGGGGGGGGTGTTTGAACACCCCCCTTGTGGTTTTTTACGAATATCTCAAAAACGGCGGCGCGGAGCGCCGCCGTTTTTGGTACACCTTATCATACATCAATTCTACACATGTTGTGAAAATTTCAGACCAAGGTCATTCAAGGTCAGGTCACCAGGTCACTTGAAGTGACCTCACCTCATAAAAAGTATCAATGTCTGTCATACCTACACCGAGTGACCGATCGCTTTGAAACTTTCAGCAATTACTAAGAGCAATAGCATGTACAAAATGTATATCTCAGAATTTTGATATCGATGACCTAAGGTCAGGTCAATTTTGCGACCTCCCATTATAAGTCAATGGGAGAAAATTCAAATGCGCCTCTTTTGGACGAAAGACATTATAAACACTCCCAAACATCGAATTACAAGTGGTTTAGACACACTGAACATGGAAATGGTGTCCGTGACCCCTGTTTATGCCCTGAGGTCATCTTAGGTCACGAATGGTATCTAACAGTTTTTCGCAAATAACTTTTGATGGAGGCATGCTAGAGCGATGAAAACGCCTTAGATGTGTTCAGATCGACGATACGGATCGACTGATATGCAGCATGACCCTTTCCGGTCAGGTCATGACCTTGACCTGAGGTCAAATTTTCAAGTTGACCTTTCAAGGTCAAGTTATAGTTCATTCGATGCGTCTTGACGAGAGGAACACGATGCCGGTAAAAGTAAGCTCGTACAAGGCTTGGGTCAAAAGTTATTGCAGAAAAACTGTGTACGAAAAAATCGGCTATTTTTGCAGTTTTTGCCCCCTGCAGGCAAAACCATTGACGTTAGGTCAAATCTGAGAGAAATACTCAGAAAGGGCGTTAATAGGGCTATCGAATGCGCTTTTCCGCGGCGCTGTAGCTCTATTGGTTCCCAAGTTATGCGTTGGCTTCTTGGAAATTGTCGACATTCGACCTGGAAATCGGCGAAATTTTGCCTTCAATGACCTCTGGTGACCTGACCTTTGACCTGACCAAAAAATTGACCGAAGTGATTACCTCATTATTTTTTACGTTCTTTCGAACGCCCCCTTCCGCGTATCGCTACGTGGCCCAGGAGCCAAGTTAGAAGGGGGGGGGTGTTCAAACACACACACCCCCAGCAGAGCGTGGAAATCCAGGACCCCCAGCCGGGCGCGGGTTAACCCAAAAAGCATTCCATTCGAAGAGTGCCACAAAGCTTTGTATCGTCACCTGAGATTACGTTAGCTTCCTAAATCAGCAACCGTTGCAAATTGCCACGTATACCTATAAGAATAGGTATTATGTATAATCCATTAGGGTTAACTACATAAGTGATAATGACAAAAGTCACATTTTGTGTCATAACAAAAAATCAATGCATCCCGGTAAATTAGTTCATCGTATCTCTCAAAAGCAGAAATTGATCCAAATCGATATGTTGAGAAATTTAGGGAACTGTATGTACATACAGTATGTATGTTTATACATATTTGTTCAGTTCCATATGTATGATCCCATCACGCTCGAGATCAAGACGCCTGAATCAGTCCCAGATCTATTATCTCCGATTCATGCACATGTTTCTTAGTCTGCGCCACGCTTTGTTGATCATATAAACATTATCTTAGATCAGTGTGCTTGCACGAAGGTAGGTACTGATATTTCAGTAGCTAATAGCCTAATACCTACCATTAATTTTGCTATGTAAAATAACCTTAGTTCAAAATAATATTATTACCAAAACAGAGTGTAAACGAAAAAAAAAACACCGATTAACACTACCTTATGCTTGGTTATAGCGCGTCATAACGTTATCCATCCCTTACAAAATACCAAGGCAGGGCTGAAGACACACGTTCTACTGGCGATTCATTGCATTATTGGGATGCATTTGTATAAACATCTGATTGATCTGTATTTGAAATAGAAATAGGTGGCACTACAAGATTACACTTGAAAGTAGCGAAACATATGTACCCCACATTCATCTTTCGTCTCTTGATTTACCAGTAATTGTCATCATATGATTCGTTTCGTATGACGTAGGTATAGGGTAAGACACGTCACTGTCTGAAATTTAAAATGTTAGCCATTTTTAGGCACTAGGCTGGTTGCACCAATTGCATCGGTCCAAACTAGGCTGGGCTCGGCACAAAATAACCCTGACAGGGCCAGTCATTCGGCACTCATTGGCCCTGATGGGTCCGGCCTCGGCACTGATTGGTCCGTACTAGGCTGATGTGAACGCTGATTGGTCGGTACTGGGCTGATGTGAACGCTGATTGGTCCGTTCTGGGCTGATGTGAACGCTGATTGGTCCAAACAGTTGGCTGATGTTACCGCCCATTGGTCCAATCAGCCGTTGAATCGTGTGCGCTAGTACAGCCCGAATGTGACTGTCGTAGCGTTGTCACTGGCACTGTTGCGACTGTTTGCTGTGTAATTGTGATATTGGTAATATTTCCGCTTCCTAGCGGTTAGAGCGCATAACGATCACTAATTACTATCTAGTTAGATGAAAAATCGACTTAGTTAGCTGCTAGATAAGGATAAGGTCATTCTAACAGGCCACTATGTCCTGGGTTTTCTGTGTGTTATTGGTCTGAGATGTCCATTACTTGTTAGCAACATGATCGCTAAGCTCTACAGGCACGAGACCATGCTATGACACAAACGAAACTGACAGTATAGCATTCGGTGCGCCATATGATAATGTTGTGAGTAGGAAGATGCGTCTTTGTGTCCCTACCAAAGCTGATATTTACAACACCGTTTTGAAAATATTGTTAACCTGTCATCAAAAGACGCTGGTGCTATGAATAATCATGGTGTAGCTTCAAGGGCTACAACTAGCTTATAGTCAGCTACCAACGTGCAACTATTTGTCAACGATTGTTCGAACGATAAAAAGATAAATGTTTTAGAAGACTATTAAGTGTGCTTGTTGCGTCGCGTGTAGATGTGCATTCACCTCTTATGTTTGCCCGCTAATACATTTTTTTTGAATTGCGTCTTTTGCCATGTAACACTTATTGAATGATCGAATGTGGCTAGTGGCTACCCATCCCGGCTCACTGAACATTCGTAAAAGCGACGGGAAACCATTCTAGTTTTAACCAGCTTTTAGTATTCATATAGAGGCAAAGTATAGGTAATATTATGTTGGAAGAGTGTTTGAAGATCAAGAGGTAGTAGCGTTTTATGTGTATTCGATGTTGTTTATTATACAGGGTGGTCCGCAGGTAAACCGATATTCTCAGTACAATTACACATCCCTAGCGACACCTATAACTACATCAGCGCCACCTATTAGCCTATAGTGGAACCTAGCACTAGTCTCACAATAACACCGGCGCAGCCCCTAAGGCTTTTCTCGGCGATCACGTGCCCAATCGGCACTGCCTCGGTTCATTTCTCGCTCAGTCACGTTCTGGTTACGTGACAAATCTACACTCCTCCATCTAGCCACGTCCATTCATGCCCTGTACATTTCCAGTACCATTCTGCACCCCTTCTGACGTCATTTGCTTCACGACTCGGTCGCCGGTCACGTGACCACCCGCCACCTCCGTGGCCACGCCACGCTGTCGCCACGCTTCACGGTAGCTCTCAGGGAGTTTAAACTCCAAGCCTATGTCACTAACTGGCTGTAGACCTACGCACGCGCGTAGAATGTTCTCGATGGCAGCACGCTGTTTGGAGAGAGCGTTTATAACGGGGGCGCCGGGGGGCACAGCCGGCGCCTTCAGTAGGTAGCCGAGAATGGACAGCACGCTGTGAAGGCCGTGGAATTCCTCCTCCGCGCCGCATCTGGGGAGTAGAGATAGTGGTGGTTACGGGCTACAGCAGATATAGCGGCGGTTATGGCAGATATAGCGGTGGTTACGGCAGATATAGCGGTGGTTACGGCAGATATAGCGGTGGTTACGGCAGATATAGTGGTGGTTACGGCAGATATAGTGGTTGTTACGGCAGATATAGTGGTGGTTACGGCAGATATAGCGGTGGTTACGGCAGATATAGTGGTGGTTACGGCAGATATAGTGGTTGTTACGGCAGATATAGTGGTGGTTACGGCAGATATAGTAGTGGTTACGGCAGATATAGTGGTGGTTACGGCAGATATAGTAGTGGTTACGGCAGAAATACAAATAAAGCGACACTCATTGGTATTTAACTGACTTATCACGCGCATTGGACGCACGAATCAACTCAACTGATCACCTCACTGACTAGCTGATCTGACATTCTGAATTGACATTCTGAAATGACATCTTGAACTAGCATGCTGATCTGACACCTTGAAATGATTTTCTGAACTGACATCTTGAACTGACATGCTGAGCTGACATCTTGAATTGAACTGAACTCGTGAACTTCTGATTCCTGAACTGACATCCTGACAGGCGCGGATCCAGGGGGGGGGCGACAGGGGCGGCCGCCCCCCCCCCCCCCCCCGACATCCGAAAAAGGCGCCCATAGCCCGCGGCAGAGAGGGCGCCCCGAGCAAAACAGAGGCGACACAGCAAAGGTTGAGCAGAAATAGGGCGCCTCCAGCAGAAGTTGGGCTCACCAAGCAGGAGAGCGACGCCCAATTGCCCATTCCCAGCAGATCAGAGTCGCCCCAGAAGCAGATTGGCGCCCCCAGCAGAAGAGGGGCGTCTTATTACAAGAATAAAAAGATACCTTCTGTTCAAGAGGGGCACTCCTGGCAGGAGAGGTGTCCCCCTGAAGAGGAGCGACGCCCCAGCAAAAGTAGAGGCGCCCCCATTCCAAGAAGAAGAGGGGCGCCCTAACCGCAGATAGGCGCCCCAACAAAGAAAAAGAGAAGCCCCATAATAAAAAATGGGTGCCACTGGCAGAAAAGGGGCGCCCCCGGCAGCGGAGGGGGCCCAGCAGGAGAAAGGAGCCTCCAGCAGGAGACGGGAGCCCCAGCAGAAGAGAGGAGCCCCCTGCAGGAGAAGGGCGCCCTCAGCAGAAGAGGGGCGCCCCAGCAGAAGAGAGGCGCCACAGCAAAAGTTGATCAGAGATGGGGAGCCTTCAGCAGAGGTTGGGCTCGCCAAGCAGGATAGGGGTGCCCCATTGACAATATCCGGCAAAAGACAGACGCCCCAGCAGCAGATGGGCGCCCCAGCAGACAGCAGCAGATGGGCGCCCCCGGTAGAAGAGGGGCGCCTCATTACAAGAAGAAAAGGAGTATATTCTGCACAAGAGGGGCGCCCCTGAGGCAGCGGAAGGGCAACCCCAGCAGAGGGGCTGTGCCCCAGTAAAAGGAGAATGGTGCCCCGCTCCGAGCAGAAGAGGGGCGCCCAAGCAAAAAGAGGAGCCCCATAAGAAGAAAAGGGATGCCTCTGGCAGGAGAGAGACGTCCCCCGCAGTGGAACGGCGCCCCCAGAAGAGGCGTCTCTAGCAAAAGATAAGTGCTCCTGCAGGAGAGGGGCACCCCAGCAAAAGTTGGGCAGAAATGGGGCGCCCCCAGCAGAATTTGGGGTCGCCGAACAGGAAAGGGCCGCCCCATTCACAGTAGAAAAAGGGACTCCCCAGCAGCAAAGGCGTGCCCTAACAGAAAAGGTGCACTCCCAGTAGAAGCGGGACGCATCAAGAAGAAGAGGGACACTTCTAGAAAAAAAATGGGCGTCCCAGATAAGTGGGCCGCCTACAGCAAATTGGTCGTTCTTAGAAGAAATGAGGCGACTTCAGCAAAGTGAGCCTCCCCATGACGGATTGGGCGATCCAAGCAGAGGTTGGGCGCAAATATCTTTAAAACGGCGGCGCTGCGCGCAGCCGTCTTAAAGATATTTGCGAAAAACCTAGGGGGACGTGACAACGCACGGCCGGGTTTTAAACTCTCGATTTTGACGACGGTTTGGCGCCCCCGGATTGCCAGGTCGCCCCTATTTCAACTTGCCGCCCCCCCTCCCGAAAATTCCTGGATCCGCCCCTGCATCCTGAGGTGTCTACTACCGATTCCTGAACTGACATTCTGAGACGTCTGACTACAGATTCCTGAACTTCTCACCTGAATTGGACCCTCTGGAACAGCTCGGTAAGGATGACCAGATCCAGTATCAGTGGTGCAGCCAGCAGGGAGTCTTCACACGTGTTGTGGAGCACCATGGTGTTGTGTCCGCCGCACATAATCTCTGGGGAGGAGGGATAAAAAGAAGTATGTCAGAGGGAGGGAGCAGGCGGGTAAGAGACTAGAGATGTCAATCGGATACCAACTTTTTGGTATACCGATACCAAACCGATACCAACTTGGTATTTGGTATTTCAATCCTAATGTGTTTGGTATTTTGTTGGTATCATGAACCCTCGCTAATGTTTAAAAGGCTACGAAATCGGTAAAAAGTTGGTATTTTCCTCATGTTCCCAAGTTGGTTTGGTTTCGGTATTTCTCCACGGTTTTGGTTGGTAGGTATTTGGTTTGGTATCGGTATTCCGATTTTCCGTAATTGACATCACTATAAGAGAGTAACTCCCCTAACCGCTATGTCTGTAATGTGATCATTTTTAACGTGTCACTGTCATGCGACCATAGGTGGCAGTTTGTGCCGGACTGAGGATGCCCCACCTATCCCAATGTCAATTGCCACGCCGGCTTGGCTTTGTGGCCCCAACAGACATCGGAGGTTAAATTAGCCGTGAGGGGCGGATTTGCTGCGCCCGAGCACCTCCAGCTGGGCACAAACTTCTCATGTATAAACGAGTTTAAAATATCTTTATAAAAAAGAAAGCTTAACCCGGCAGGCGGTGGGCCTACCAGCCACCTTCCGCGCGGTGGGGGGGGGGGCACTTTTTTGCCCCCCCCCCCGTATCTCCGAAACTACTGGACGGATCCGGAAAATTCAAACGGCGTTCGATAGCGCTGTCACATTTGTTGAAGGAAACCAAATTTCATTGACCTCGGGGTCACCGATGACGTCACAGGTCAGGTCAAAGATAAAATGTTTCACCGTTCACGGGGCTTCTAGGGAAAGCGCTATAACACCGAGTAAAACGCATTTTGTCGAAAATCAGCGATAAGGCGTCAGTTGTCTAGTACATATGTTGCTATTAGAGGTCACTGGTCATACCAGGTCAGGTCACAGGTCAGGTCACCAAAGATCACCAAGGGTCACCACATGAGCCCAACTTTACTAAGGTTATGCGATGCATGTTTTATGGCCAGTTTTTCATTTTCAGCTCAATGGTGTTGGTTATAAGACCATCAGGCACGGTTTAGGTCACTTTCTGGTGGAGGTCAAGTCAAGGTCAGGTCAAAAAAGGTCAAATTTCAAAGGTTATATTTTTGCATAAAATGGGTATCGATTCGATGCAGCTCGTCACGGGGAGTCTAACGGTGGTCTTTGTTTTGCGCTACGAGGTCTAGAATTGCTAAAAATTGAGTTTGAAAATTTGACGTCATCAATTTTGAACAGTTTTTTCGCTATAACTTGGCCAAAAAAAGAGGTATCGATCTCAAATTTGGTATGCAGATAGAAGGCGGTAGGGGCTATCACATGTATTCCGTTTTTTTTAATTCAAAAAACTTTTTTGATTTTTTGGCTATTATATTCAAAAAATCTATTTTTTGATTTTTGGGGATCAAAATCCAAAAAAGTCGAAAAACCGAAATAGCAGTTTTGTAGCCCTTTCAATTTCACACCTTTTATGTTGACACATTTTTCTGTAGCTCTAAAGCTGTAGGCCTGACAGCTCTTCCCGCGAACCCTTTTTTTGGGTCGAAAATGGCAAAAATGACGTCACTCTGACGTCATTAGCGGCCAACCTATCAAAGCCTTTGGAAAAATTTTTGGTCACCATGTGCGCTAGCTGCTCCCGGGAGGGTACTGAAAGTTTGGTGACGATCGGCGCAGCGGTTCTCGAGATATATCGAAAAAACTAAAGGGGGGGGGCAAAAAAATGCCCCCCCCCCACCGCCTGGAAGGTTAATGAAGTGGCATTCAATAGACAAAATCCATAATCCACGATCCAGCGATGAGAATCGAACCCAGGACCTTTCCCTCACACCTCCCCACACCGACATACCTGACGTGTACTCGTCCATCGCGCGTTTTGAGTCGCCCACATAAGGCACATATTGAATGACAATGCAGTGATCCGGCCCCCGACCGTCGGGATACAGGATGGTATTGGAGGCGACCATGTCTTCAACGACGCCCGACTTGGAGATCTGAGGGGTGAAAAATGCAGTGATTAGAGTCTATCTACAACATAGCGCGATAAATTAAATTAGGTAAATTGAATCTGTATGCAAGAGCGCAAGGCTTTTGAACAGCATCATTTGTTATGACGCTGATGGAGTAAGTACAAACCCCAGCATGCGATGTAAGATGTAATAAGATCTAAGATGCATTGCGTGATGTTAGATGGTGTGCGAAAAAATGACACCAAATCTTTGTATTATTTGGTAATAATTATGTGCATTACTGCGTGCATACTTTGAGACAAAACCAAAATATGTGTGATGTAATTGCTATGGCTAAAAAGTTGATCTTTGAACATACTCAAAGCACGATGACTATACTGAAGACCCATAGCTCTTTTAAACCATTTGATCGTCTCTCTCCTCTAGCCCGGCATTCCCCTGACCTCTGGTAGGGTCAATGACCCCTGACCTCCGGGTCCACTCACCTCTGACCCGGTTAGCTGACCTCTAACCTTTCCACTGGCCTCTGGTAATCCCCGGAACCCTGACCTCTGCATCAGACCTCTGACCAGGTCACTGACCTCTGGCCAGGTCACTGAACTCTAGCATCTCTACTGACCTCCGACCTCCCGGGGGTCACTGACCTCTGACCTCCCGGGGGTCACTGACCTCCTTGCTCCTGAACTGCTGCGGCGCGGAGAGGGGTCACTGACCTCTGACCTCCCGGGGGTCACTGACCTCCTTGCTCCTGAACTGCTGCGGAGCGGAGAGGGGTCACTGACCTCTGAACTCCCGGAGTTCACTGACCTCCTTGCTCCTGAACTGCTGCGGCGCCGAGAGGGGTCACTGACCTCTGACCTCCCGGGGGTCACTGACCTCCGACCTCCCGGGGTTCACTGACCTCCTTGCTCCTGAACTGCTGCGGCGCGGAGAGGGGTCACTGACCTCTGACCTCCCGGGGCTACCTGACCTCCTTGCTCCTGAACTGCTGCGGCGCGGAGAGGGGTCACTGACCTCTGACCTCCCCGGGGGTCACTGACCTCTGACCTCCCGGGGTTCACTGACCTCCTTGCTCCTGAACTGCTGCGGCGCGGAGAGGGGTCACTGACCTCCGACCTCCCGGGGGTCACTGACCTCCTTGCTCCTGAACTGCTGCGGCGCGGAGAGGGGTCACTGACCTCTGACCTCCCGGGGGTCACTGACCTCCGACCTCCCGGGGGTCACTGACCTCCTTGCTCCTAAACTGCTGCGGCGCGGAGAGGGGTCACTGACCTCTGACCTCCCGGGGGTCACTGACCTCCGACCTTCCGGGGGTCACTGACCTCCTTGCTCCTGAACTGCTGCGGCGCCGAGAGGGGTCACTGACCTCTGACCTCCCGGGGGTCACTGACCTCCTTGCTCCTGAACTGCCGCGGCGCCGAGAGGGGTCACTGACCTCCGACCTCCCGGGGTTCACTGACCTCCTTGCTCCTGAACTGCTGCGGCGCCGAGAGGGGTCACTGACCTCTGACCTCCCGGGGTTCACTGACCTCTGACCTTCCGGGGGTCACTGACCTCCTTGCTCCTAAACTGCTGCGGCGCGGAGAGGGGTCACTGACCTCTGACCTCCCGGGGTTCACTGACCTCCTTGCTCCTGAACTGCTGCGGCGCGGAGAGGGGTCACTGACCTCTGACCTCCCGGGGTTCACTGACCTCTGACCTCCCGGGGGTCACTGACCTCCTTGCTCCTAAACTGCTGCGGCGCCGAGAGGGGTCACTGACCTCTGACCTCCCGGGGTTCACTGACCTTGCTCCTGAACTGCTGCGGAGCGGAGAGGGGTCACTGACCTCTGACCTCCCGGGGGTCACTGACCTCTGACCTCCCGGGGGTTCACTGACCTCCTTGCTCCTGAACTGCGGCGGAGCGGAGAGGGGTCACTGACCTTTGACCTCCCGGGCTTCACTGACCTCCTTGCTCCTGAACTGCTGCGGCGCGGAGAGGGGTCACTGACCTCTGACCTCCCGGGGGTCACTGACCTCCTTGCTCCTAAACTGCTGCGGGGCGGAGAGGTTACGCCCGTCGTTATTCCCCAGGTGGTTGTAGCTGACGATGGAGACTGGCTTGATGCCAGCTGATACGAGAAAATCCACCAGAACGGACTTCACCTGGTGATGAAATGAATAGGGATAAAATTAAACATTTATTTAAACATGTTGGCGATGGCCAAACCTGAGATGAGGAATTAATAGACTAAACCGCATAATTTTCATGAAAAAACAAGCAAAACACGATTGTTTCACTTCGCCTGAGAGATACAACAAAAGTGCTTTGTAAAATAATAGAATACCTTGACACGCGCACGTCCTCCACCCGACCGTCCCCCCCCCCCCCCACACACACACTTTCCATAAAACCCACCCAAAAACCTCCTAAATTTGTCAAGCCCTTACCTAAAATCTCATCTCTCAACTCAATCAAAACCTTAAAAAAAATCTCACAGAACCTCAAAGTCTCGCCCCCACCCATTCCACGTCACCCACCTTAGTCTGTCCGGACTTGAAGTCGTCTCCGGCCAGGAAGAGCCCTCTTCGCTCTGCCATTTGTCTAAGCCCGGGTACCAGGCTGTTTTGTGGAGAACCGTTAATGAACGCACATCCTTCCAGCATGGCGGCGACACCGTACAAGGTGCTGGGCGCAAGAAGACCCCCTCCTCTGCCGCTGCTGCTGCTACTGGTGTTGTTGGTGGTGATGCCGTTGCTTGCCCCGTTGCTGCCGTTCTTCGCGTCACCATTTCCAAACCCATTGGTGATGCCACCAATAACATTATCACTGTTGCTGCCTACGCTGCTGCCTACGTTGCTGACGATGGTTTCATCGATGTCGTTAGGCACATCACCATTTTCTACGCCACCATTTACCACACCCCCGCTGACGCCTTCTCCTTTACTGATATCCCCAGCATTTGCGATGGCCTCCAGTAGCTCCTCTTCCGTATTGTTGAGACCGGCACGAATTTCAGCGAACCGTTCGGTGTTGGCAGTCCAGAGAACGATGACTCGATCGGCGCCGGAAGTGGACCGGAAGTGACGTATGTCCGCCCGGAGTTGGTCCACCTGCTGCTGAAGGGTTCCTGAGGAGGCGAACGGGGTTTATGATGTGGGGAAACAAATTATGGGCGAGACTGATTGTATGACGGTACACTGAATATAGCATGTTGGCAGAAATACTAAGTGACTGACTGCATGGCTGCCAATAGGTAATTCGTAGCAAGACGCCTACTCTCCTCCTTACACATATGAGTTTTAAAATTCACAGTTCTATATGGTGGCGTTATTATCAAAATATTTCCGTTGAACAATTGGAATGATCTAAATGCCGACAAGTAAAAAAAAAAACGAACAATTACTCACTAGCTTGTGCATCATAAGACCCATGTAACAAAATCAATCGAATGAACCACCCGTCATGTACTACACAACAAACCACCTCGCACCCCCTGTGACGTCATTTGACGGTACCGTACCCTTGATGACGTTGTCAGCCCGGTCGGCCTGATTGGCTGCGATAAACTCCGGATCATATAGCGCCGGACGGGGCCTCATTCCCGCCATGTGCGGCTTCAGTTGCTCTTGGAGAGCCGGGTCCAGCACCTGTGCTCGCTCCATAGCCTCGGAGAGTGGGGCGGACGAGATGTCCCAGCCTGGCGTGACGTCAGAGGGGGTGTTAGCGGTGACGTTATGAGGGGTATTTACAGTGAGGTGGCGAGCAAATGAATATTTCAAAAGGGTGATATTTTTTGGATAATGTCATACATAAATGTAGACAAGCTTTGGGACATAAGTGCGGAATCGTTTGCCAGTGAACTCAAAACGTCATGTTTGCAAAATTATCACAAGCAGTCAATCAAACCATTCCAGTAATAATACATTGGATTGCAGAAGAGTTTTTTCTTCCTGGCGTCACTGAACTCAAGTCATATAAAACAACATCGGTGGGTAGTTGTCTATTGAATTCTTTAAAAAAAAATGCCAGTTTCACTTTAATTTAGACAAAATCAGTCCATCTAACAGTCTCGTTCAATCCCTGTAGAGAGTACTCAGCCAACTACTTTCGAAGTTCTCAGAAGAGAACTTCCCATGTTCTCAGGAGAGAACTTTACCGGTTCTCACCGTCCAACAGCAGATCGTTGGGGTGGACCATGGGCAGCAGGCTGTTCAGGGGTGCGTGCTGCCCCCCTCCCAGGTCCACCGTGGAAGACTGCGTCAACGAACCGTAGTAGTTTGCTTTCTGTTCACCGGTTCGGGTTCTCCAGCTGAGGCCCAGACGGTTTGCTGTGTGCACAGGTGGACAAATGTGCGTGAGCAGAGTGCACAGATTTACTAGAACACGGTACACGAAGACAGGGAAAGCGGTTCTAAGAGAGCAGGCAACCGATTAGCATGGACACACAGTGTATAGATGCAAAGGTTAGCACTTTGAAAGACATGGCATTTGTAGGAATCACGGACAGTTGATCGTATGTGTCTTTGCCTGAAATGGAAAACTCCCTATATTTCTAATATAAGTAGGTACAGGTCTCGCGGGTTTTAGCGGTAGGTTTTGCACCTAGAAAATTTAGTGTACTTCAGGCTATATCTTCGTCGTCTTAAGCTTTTAAGTGTTGAAGATGCGATCGACTTGTTGGGTAACAAGCCGGCCATGATCGTGTAAAATGGCTTCATCGTAGATCGATTAGTTTCTGAGATATAACCGGAAATGTAAAAGTGCAAAACCTACCGCTTAATCTCGCGAGACCTGTACCACCGCCACAACGGAACGAACACTTAGCGCGCGGTGTTTTCGTTCGGAACTATGAATGAGATAATCCATGATAGAAAACACCATATTTTACACAGTTATGGTGCACTTTTCCTTCACCATAGCCTTAGGCTTTTAGGTCACTCGAAAACCTCTCCCGCTTGGGTTCGATTCCCACTAGCTCCGCCGTATTTTCGGCCGCCTCACCTAGCACGGCAGCGGTGACGGTGGTACCGTTGTTCCCTCCCCACCCGACCAGCATCACACCGAGTCGGGGCCGAGTTCGAGTTGTTCGGAATTCACAGTCGACAGTCACTGGTCGCACCTGGTGGAAAGGGTGGAGACGGGCGGTTAGGTCGTTTATTTATATATATTTGCATTCAGAATAGGCCGAGTGGGGTTGTCGGGGGGGGGGGGCAGGGCCTCGGCTAACATGTTAACTGGTGGGCCAAATGGCCCACCAGTGACCCGAAATGGCCCACCAGCCTCAAAGATTTGGCCCACCAGTAATTCTCTGAAAAATCGAAGTTTTCACATTTTACATCACAACATAGGTAACATTGTGATACAGACAGAGACAGAGGCCCTACTACATTGTTGCATTTAGTAAAAGTAAGAACTTGATCGTCGTTGCCCGCCTAATACCATCACCATTCCCGGTTTCTTGAGACAGCCGTAGGTTAAGCCCCGGTCACACTTCACCGGATTGAACCAAAGGACGAGAAACGGACGGCGTCCGTTGATGTCCGGGGGATGTCCGTTCGTTTCCGTTGGACGTCCGTTTCTCATCCGTTAATATCTGTTCCATGTCTGGTGGTGTCCGGTGTGCTCAAACGGACACCACCGGACATGGAACGGATATTAACGGATGACAAACGGACGTCCAACGGAAACAAACGGACATCACCGCACGCTGACAGTTCTCGTCCGTTTCTCGTCCGTTGGTCCAATCCGTTTAAGTGTGACCGAGGCTTTAAATTGTATGCAATAATCGTGAAAGACGTTTGCCTCTGTCAATTACAGATAGTGTCGGCGGCTTCCAGCCGATCGAGGTCTGCGAGAGTTCTTGCAAGCTTTCCGATCGATCGAGTGGTTACAGTCACACAAGCATCTGCCGCAGACCAGTCGGTTACAAGAAAAACTACGAATAAAGAACAGACCAGTTCAGACGGTCGGGGATAAGCCAGCGAGCGATCTCAGACGGCTCGCCGATAGACACGATATAAGCCAGAGTCAAACTAGAGGTAGTGTCGGCAACTTCCAGCCGATTGAAGCCTGCAAGCGATATTATGCGTCTTCACGAACGGTATGATGCTTGCAGTCGCACATCTGACCAGTTGGACGAATTTCGAACCGTTCACAGTCAGCGTTCCAAAAATTTCTCACTTGGGCTGAAGATGACACTCAAGAATAAGAATGGATAATTTTCCACTCTCACATTTTGGGTGGCTAGAATTTTCTACTCAGACACCCAAGAGAAATCTGAAGTTTGGGACACTGTTCACCAGAAGTGTATGTACATAACTTAGTTTTTTAAAAGAAAATATTAGGGTTGCGCAGTGCGCTTGGGCTTTTGAGTGAATTCTTTTCCATGCGACACCAATAGGCTTAATGATCATTTTCAGAGATGTTGGGGTTGCTGCTACAACCCCCTTTTGGGGTTCCTGCTACAACCCACTTTATATGTAAAGTTGCACTTGTGCTGTTCACAATTCCTCCCGATCCACCCGACAACGCCCGATCCCGCCCGACCGCTTCCGAATCTCCGACTAGTCGGCGAGCGATCCATTCAGGGCTCGCTGATTTTTAACATCCGACCGGCCGTAAGTTATCGTCCAAAGTTTTACAATCTGCGTCAATATTTTGTGCGTATATGTGCGATTTTATGTGCACCGCCGGAGTATCACCACTGAGAGGGATGTGGGTCCCTACTCTCTCGTCTCTCTCTCTCTCTCTGAAGATTTAGGGGGGGGGTCAAGCCCCGTTTTTTTTACATTTTTAATGTCATCCTGACGTTTTTTGCAGAATAAAGTGGCCGAAATCTGGGGAGAAATCGAAAATGGGGGGGGGGGGCTATGGCTACGAAGGTCAGTCCATGTCGCTGCCCAAGTGGCCCACCAGTCAAAATTCCTTAGCCGAGGCCCTGGGGGGGGGACATAGTGGAAGGCTACGTTCACCATCATTTATGGATATTATTGAAGAGGAGCCTATCTGTGTACATGCCACCCATTTTTATTCCTGCTGAAGTTAAAAAAAACGGCAAAATATGATGATACGAAAGTGAAAAAGAGGTGCAGATAAAAATACCTTATAAAGCATGTCGGACAACAGACGAAGAATGCAATTAGTTCGAATGTTTATGAGATATGGACCGGAAACGAAGTTGAAGCGTACCTAGATGATATTAGCCGTTTTCACGACGGGCTATCCGGCGAGTGCACCTAATTTGACCAAATCTGCACCTAATCTCTTTTACAGCAAATATCTTTATTTTATGAATTTATTTCAGTGTTTTAATCGATGATAATCTTCGATAATATGACAAAGCAGGGATATAAGCAATTAGTGCAGCCCTAGCTGATTGCTACTAAGAGACACACTGAACCTAATTTGACCAAATCTGCACCAAATGTCACCTTTTGTGTGACTATTTACCTTGATGACATTCCCTTCGGTCGACGTTTTCGTGGTGTGGTATTGATATTTCGCCTCTATGAACTCCGGGGTGTAGCGCACATTTTCACTCTCTACGTGAACCTCCATGACACTGAAACGAGCAAGCATTGGGTGAAAAAAACAATCCGATTTATGTAAACACAAAACAATTCACCATTAGATTGCAACAAACGGCAATGAAGTGGAGACTTATCGACAAAAAATCAGCTAGTTACTCAAACGTCGGCCACAATTGTAGGTATAGCACTTACATAATTATTGTGGACATCAAAAGCGTACTTACCTACAGTGCTACACACATGTTGCGAACCAAAACACACGAAAACGCACCCAGTGATAGACATTAACCGTCCCACACATACACCAAATAACATGCACATTCTACTTGTAAATACAAAGTTACACACCCGCAACAAATGTGCTTTACCTGTGTAGCAGCCACCACACGATCGCCGTTATCCTCAACAAACACACAACATACGCACACCTCCTCACACACACAGAGACTGAGTGCATATGGCACGCACTGAGGACCCCATCAGCGGAGTGGCATGGCACGTCCGCGACATCTGGTAACCGTATGTGAGGGGGATGTTTGTACCAAGCGGCTGCCGACCGGGAACGGGGTAGGAGGGGAGTTTTCTGGAGGAAGCGGGAGGGAGAGCGAGAGAGAGAGAGAGAGAGAGAGAGAGAGAGAGAGAGAGAGAGAGAGAGAGGAGGAAGAGAGAGAGAGAGACAGAAAAGAAGAGTAAGATGGGAAGTAGAAACAAAAGAAGAAATAGGGGGAAGAAAGGAGCGACAGTCCAATCAGCACATCCTATGAAAATTAACAAAAATCTGAATATCGCTATACAGCACACGATTCGTTTAAAAGTAAGCTTTTAAAACCAAGGAAATAAAAATAGGGATGTATGTTTCGCATCTACTCCCTCGCTACAGATGGGGTAAATTGCTGCACTACCACACCTACCTATCCACCCTTGCTGTCGTGCAAGAGCGCAGCGTCCCCACCACGGTCCACCGTGGTCCGTGACAGTCACCGCAGTCCAGACACCCGACTGAACGGACGACACATGACACCCTCTGTACCCCCCCCCCTCCCCCTCGCGTCCGGTCATGTCACCAGAGACACCCCCTCCCCTCCCCTCCCATCCCCTCCGGACGGCTCAGCAGTCAACAACTGAGTCAGACCATCGTATGTCAGGTGCCGGCTCAGCCAGTCTCCAAGTCAGTGCCCACCGAATACATCGACAGATGCGACCCAGTGTTCAGGGCCGATTCGAGATGGGCCGACCCAGGGCCGATTCGAGATGGCGCACTAGGAAGCTAGTAGGACTAGGCGACCAAGTGACACTTGAATGTAGTGACACTAAGCGATATTTTGCACCAATCGGCTAGTGGCTCAGCGCGAACCGAAATCGCATAGTGACGCTTGAAATCAAGTGTCACTAGGGCCTTAGTGCGCCAACGCGAATCGGTCCAGGGGCCGATTCGAGATGGCGCACTAGGAAGCTAGTAGGACTAGGCGGCCAAGTGACACTTGAATGTAGTGACACTGAGCGGTATTTTACACCAATCGGCTAGTGGCTCAGCGCGAACCGAAATCGCATAGTGACGCTTGAAATCAAGTGTCACTAGGGCTTTAGTGCGCCAACGCGAATCGGTCCCAGATGTTTAGGGATAGGTACCACAAGATTCGAAACATTTTTTAGGACATTCCATGGCTTTCTGGATCCGTAGTTCATCATGCCAGAGCGCCTGGCCATGCTTACTTACGATTATTATTTATAAGTGACTGAAATTTTCGTCATTATCGTGTAGGTATGTTGATTACCTACCGGGGATGCATGAAAAGGGCTTCTGCGTATTCACTAAATGTTTATTACAGTTGATTACTAGGCGCAAAAGCAAAAAGATTATCCATTTGCAAGCAAACAATTTTTCTGGCCCATGCATTGCACTCTTCAAAATTATGTCACCGTCTTTACATTAAATACATTTTTCCTATCTCTTTAAATGTTCAGTCACAGTACCTTAGTTTTGACATATGGATGGATTAGGATGGATCCACAGACATGGATCATCCTTTGATAAGGATGGATGGATGGATTAGGATCCACAGACCACATGTGGAATTTACGCCTGGACGTAACATGATGCAGCGTCCGGACGGCTCTCACTGTCTTCCCGGAAACGTCCTCCATTGCACCCCGCTCTCAGCCACGTGGCCATGGACACGGTAAACAAATGACGTCATAGCGGTAAACTAGTGACGTCATACCCCGGATGCCATGGGTCTGTTTTTGCAGATATGGGGAAGTTGAGATGTATGAAGACTGTCTCGTGTTTGTCAGAAGGGAATGTTACATGAAATAAATAGATGCGGAGATTCAACAAAAGACCAAATAAAGAGGCACGGACATGAAAACGGAAACAGAGACAGTGACGGAGACGGAGACGAAGGCGAGGCAGAGACGAAGACAGAGATAGTAGCAAACTGACAGAAGCAGATAGAGAACGAGACGAAGGCAGAGATAGAGAGAGAGAGAGAGAGAGAGAGAGAGAGAGAGAGAGAGAGAGAGGAGAGAGAGAGAGAGAGAGAGAGAGAGAGAGAGAGAGAGAGAGAGAGAGAGAGAGAGAGAGAGAGAGAGAGAGAGAGAGACAGAGACAGAGTGAGAGAGAGAGAGAGAGAGAGAGAGAGAGAGAGAGAGAGAGAGAGAGAGAGAGAGAGAGAGAGAGAGAGAGAGAGAGAGAGAGAGAGAGAGAGAGAGAGAGAGAGAGACGGAGACACACACATACGCACGGATATAAAGATAAGATGGATAGGTCAACAGGAGTTTGGATAAAGACAGAGGGATCACAACAACTGATTAACCTGCGGGTGCGGTGATACTCATACAACTTTCAGAAATGTTATATGCAGGGCTGCGGAGTCGATGGATTTTCGGCGACTCCGACTCCGACTCCGACTCCGGCTTTCAAAAAACAGCTCCGACTCCGACTCCGACTCCGGGCAGAATTGTCGACTCCGACCGACTCCAACTCCCGACTCCGACTCCGCAGACCTTGCAGGGCTGCGGAGTCGACATATTTTCGGTGACTCCGACTCCGACTCCGGCTCAGGTTTCTAAAATCGACTACGACTCCGACTCCGACTCCGGTCACAACTGTCGACTCCGACCGACTCCGACTCCGACTCCGACTCCGACTCCGCAGCCCTGGTTATATGAATAAAAGACAGCATACGTTAGTGAAATCCGGTTGCGCAAAAAAAGCACGAATAACGAATTGCGGTAATATTGACAAGGAAATTAAAACTCCACAGGCACGAGAATTTCAAAGGGCAGGAAAAAACAGTCGCCCATCCCATTCACAAGCTTGCCAACACGCATATCCAATTACGTCATAGAACGACAACGTCAGGCGATTGGTCACGTGATAGGCAAGAGCCAATCAGCGTTGGGACAAGAACGTGGCGTGGTCCTGGCGCTTGCTAAAAGAAAAAAAGAAAAATACATGGAATGAAATCTAGCACTAAAAGATGCTGGATCGCCGACTTTTAATGAAAAGTGCAAAGCGTGTTAGACTATTCAGCGAGGCGTAAAATAAACGTGAAATCAATAATGTTGGCAAAAAATGGTTTAAAATATACCTAAATGGAAAATTGAAATATTTATCCTCATAACTATAAACTTGTCATCATGTGTGAAATCTGAAATCACCAGTACGGGGTGAAGAGTTATCATAAATAAACGCTAAAGCTTGCAGAATAATTCGGGGCGGTTTGAGGTGAAAAGTGAATTATGGGGTACCTAACTACCTCAGAATTAGTAGAACTTTGGGAATGGGTGAATGAAATGGACCTAACGTAGGCGTAGGAGGCAAGTGCGATACAAGTCTGTCAATCGGCCGTGAAATGTGCAATGTGTATGTATGGTGCATAGGTATTGGGTTATGCATACCAATTGGTAGGTACCGTCTCTTAGGTCAATCTATTTTTGTTTGGGGCATTCCGTTCATGTATGAAGACGACAGACAGCGACTTGCAAACGCATACCTACTTCTTCAATTATTAGCTAAAATTCGCCTCCACGACACAAATCCCAACTAAAATAGCAGAAACGTAGGGCGAAGTGACCAAATCGAAGGCACATAGATAACGAAGCCCCATATGTGCACGTCCCATACCTGCGACACATTTGACGCCCGGCAGACAATACCGACGCACACAAGCCTCCGAAAATATCTGCAAAAACGTACAACAAACCTGGATAAATACCTGAAATCGGTTGTAATGCAGGTGCTGAAGACAAACGTCCTCTTTCGCCCTCTTCACGGGTGTCAATGTGACCGCAAGCTTGTCTACGCCCCTCCTCGCCGCGCCGGACGCAGCAGAAGCCTCAGATAGACAGCTGACTGGCGGCAAACAGCTGACTAGCGGGCGTCGTCGTCGGCTGATTGCCGGTCGGGCGTCGTCGGTTGAGCAGCAGCAACGGCCGTACGGGCTAATGTCTTTGTAGTTTGGGTGGCATTGTGAGCTTTATTGGCATGTTCATTTATTGGTTATAGTTCCTGGGGTAGCCGCCAGGGGATCGCTTGTGGAATTTAAATATACCGCCATCGGCAGTTCCGGATTCCAGGGTCTCTTCCAACAGACAGACTGGCTGTGCAACTTCATGTACCATCAGTCTGACCGGTTTTACAACCGTCGGCAGAGTGCAAGTGTCATAAACTGTCATAGCCACATAGGCATACACTAGTGACACTGCTTGAGTGTCTAGACTCCAGACAACAATGTCACTGTAATTGTCTGTTATAAACAGAAAAACAACTGTCGTATAGTTCTTATAACTGTTATGATTGATAAGCAGCAACTTGTTGCCAAACCTATTTTATTGCTTCTGACGATTTCCTCTCGGTCACATTTTAAGTCTGACACGTGCTCTTCCCACGTTCCGTTATCTGCATGTTGCCAACGTTATTTACTACCAAGCATGTCCATCATTCGAGAGATGACTTTTTCTAGAAATGAACAGAATGAACCGTAAGTTTCGGGAGTTTGAATTGAGTGTCACAATTTACACACATCATAGGGGTCGAAATACGCAACAGAACATATTGAAGTAAAAGGACATGTCGGAAGTAAAATAGGTATTTCCCATAGGCGGAGGATCGGGGGTGGCACCGGGGCACCATGCCCCCCTTGATTTCGCCATTTTAACATTAACTCTATGGGCGTTGCATGGAAAGAATGGGACCAAAAGTCGCCAGTGTTAATTAATAGAAGGTGTTCCGCCGTTACTGGTATTCCATTAAAACCAAAAACATGAACACTTAAGGGTACAGCATAAAACTTCCCAAATTTTGCTGGTTTTAATTTATTATGTGACACAGCACTATACGGCCGTTGATTCTTATGTTACAACTTTGTTGTGTATTGTAGATATTGTACATACAACCATGAGCGATCCTTAGCTTTTGCTCTGTTTCGAGCGTTTTCGGGAAACCGTTTCAGTTAAAACAAATTGATTAGAAATATTGATTTATTACGAAAAACAATCTGCAGTCTCCCAAGAACCAATGTTAATAAAGAACTTCATGATATAGTATCAGGAAGCTAGAATGAGTAAATTCACTCAAAGAAGCAGTAAGGATGACCGGAAACTCAACACAGCATTCATACACTAGCATTCATACCTACCATCCTGCTAAACGATCAGTTTAGCGTTGAGCTATCCCAAGCTGATGAATGTTACATTTTTTCATAACTCATAGACAAACAGACAGCAATATATTCATCACAACACCGGCTGCCCCGCCCTGAATGCATGCACGTGGCCTGGCGTTAATGCTCGGACGTTCTAGAATGCGGCCCCACAGTTGATCAATACCTGCCGCCGCCGGACGGAGTTGGGCCGGCACCCGTCTAGGGGTCAGTAGGGGGCGTACCCACCCACCCCCCAGCCCCCCCCCCCCTGAGGGCGTGCCGTGGTGCGGTAACAGGAGGCAGAGGCGGAGAAAGAAGGGAGGCGGGCACAGAGGCGGATAAAGCAGGGGAGCTAAGCACAGAGGCGGA